CTTTCCAGCATGTATGCTGTTTTCCTTAAGTTTATCTAATTTATGTTCTTCGTGAATGTTTTTATTTCTTCCATCACACCTTTCAAGAGATTTATGTGGTAACTATGTGTCTTTTCTCTTAGTTGTTTCAGTAGGGTCATATGTTTCAGCTGTGTGTTTTTGTTTTTTTATGTGAAATGCTTTGCTGAGGAGTAGGCCTCGAATAACTGGTTTGTGTGCTTGCCACAATGTAGTTGGTTTTATGTCTTGTGATTTGTTAGTCATGAAGTAATTCTTTATCTCCCATTCAATGTTTGCTGTGTAGGCTCTGTCTTATAGCAGTGAGTTGTTCAGTCTCCACGTTCCTTTACCTCTATATGTGCAATTATCTAATATTGTGAGTATTATTGGAGTGTGGCCCAACCATATTATATTACCTATAGTGCAGTGTTTGATCTTTGGGATCGTGGAGCTTTGCACTAGCATTAGGTTTATTCTAGAGTGTGTGTTATGGACATGGGAATAAAAAGAGTAGTCTCAAGTGTTTTACTACATTAGTCACCATGTGTCGTATATGTCAAATTCTTTGAATAGTGTCGCTAGACCCTGGTTTCTAGATCTAAGGGTGGGGGAGCTTTGTGCATTATGGTGGGTGATAGCATCAACTGATGGGTCGGGTGCGTGATTTATGTCTCCACACAGAATCAGTTCTCCCTGTTGTACATGTGGAATTTTAGAAAGGAGTTTTTGTAAAAATGTCTTGTCATTTGGAGCATACGCACTGACTACCATGTAGGTTACGTTGTTAAGGTTACATATGAGACATAGTTATCTGCCTTGGCTGTCTGTCACCACTTTCAGAAGTTCAAAGGTCACTGAGTGGTGGATCAGAATATATACTCCTCTTGCCTTAGAGCCATACATGGAGTGGTATTGTACTGGGAAGTCTGTCATACCAAAAGTGGGTGCTTTTGTTTCCTTTAAAGTGTGTCTCACTGTATTCTTTTCACATCTGCGAGTAGTGTGTTTCTTTTTTGGGTTGTATTGAGACCTCTAACATTGTGTGAATAGAGTTTCATAATTGGATTTGAATAAGTTTGTGCTCATTTTTATTCTCCCCTTGTATGCCCAAGAGCGTCTTGGGTCTAAACCCTGTGTACATTAGGGCATTTAGTTTTGGTCTTCTAAGCTTGACAGAGTTGCTTAGTACATTTAGGTAGAGGAAGCGGTATATTATCCTTGTTATAGGACACCTGGATAATATTTGGACTTTGGGTCATTTTGGTCTTGGTGGGTTTGTCACTTGATTTGGCAATAGTGTGAGTTAGTGGGAGTAGGGGGGTGGAAAGAGTGGGTAAGGAAGATGTGAGGAGATATAACAGCCTGTTTGTTGGCTGAACTATGTACAACATTGATCTTGCCGCAGGCTTGGTACTTATGGTGAGTACCACTGGGGTGTGAGCTTTCATTTTCGGCTACGCAAGACCCCTCTCATTATTATTTTTTTGTTTATACTCAAACGGGTATAACTAACTGTTGAATGGTTACATGACTAATTCTTAATTCACTGGAGTTTGACAGAAGAAAGATATGAAGCAAATCTGCAATTTCTGCTTTTGACTCCCGTATGTCCAATAGCTCCGTTCACTATTGTGTACATTGGAAGGGATATGGGCCTAAGGAACACTCCTGGTTGCCTGGTGCTGAGTTCTGATAAACCAATACCTGTTACAAAACACTATGCTGTGTAATTCTTGCACTAATGTGTTCTGTAATAAATAAATGTTTGTTTTTTTTAAATCACTGAATGACCAATATTTAATAAATACAATGATCAATAATTAAAAGAAAAAGCAAGTAAAATGGCTCTGTCACCCTCCCCCATTCAGAATGAGTATTTCATAAAGAAATATTCACATTGACTGTGTTTGAATATAACTGACAAAACTGTAGGGAAAAAAACCTCTATTTATGGAGGTTCCTGCAGTCTCGTAGGACTCTCCATAGACCTCAGTGTTGTACTCTGTATGTATGAGTATACAACAATGATGTAGGTTTCTGGCAGATGAAGCTCCAGGAGCTGATGAGAACCATCTAGAAGGCCATGACGACATAAGACAATCGGTTCAGATAAGTAATACTCACCGGACACACAGCAGTGTCAGAACCACTTTAACTTTGGATTTGCATTTATGTAAATATTTCTCGTAGTTTATAATTGGACTAAAATTTCCATAAAATGAATCCTACATGGCTGAAAGAAAATATGTTTTCATAAAGACATTCATGTCTCAACAATTTTAATTATTTGATTGCAGACCAGTCAAGACCAAAAGATGAAGGACACCTAATAGCAAGTCCAATCAGAAGTGATTCTGCAATTATTGGAGGTAACAGAGTTTATTCCTTTTTAAATTATATTAATTAGTATAGATTTTAAAAATACATTTAAAAAGGACACCCTAGGCATTGTATTTTATTTTTTTGCTTTGACACCATGTTTTTCTGTAGCCCAATAATTGGTTTTCAATTATGTAAAATTAAACAAAAAACAAGCATTTTTAAATCTGATTTCAATAAACAATTGTACTAATAATAAAAAAAAAAGACTTTTCTGTGTAGTTACATAAAAATGTTGTACAATGCAGACAGTAATGCATTACATTCCTATTTCTTTTCAAATGTCTTCAGGTATAATATCAGTTGTGGCATTCATTCTGTTATGCATTGCTGCCATAGCAGTAAGAATTTATCTGCAAAAGAATACATATAAACAAACTGAAGTGAAAGTGTCACAGAATGAGGACAATACAGGAACAACAACAACACTGAAAACGGAAATCAGTATGCAAAATGCAATCGACGAGAGTCAAAAAGAATACTTTTTCTAAAGATTCTCATTGTTTAAATGAACAATGAGACAGATATTCTTGCTAAGCAAGGGGCACTAGACAAACCACAGAATCATAATATTGTAAATGTGCTTGAAGCAAACAACAAACAGGAAATGTGTTACAATGCATAGGGACAGTCACAGCGATTACTAGAATAGGCCTCTAGTATATATATGCATTTCTTAGTTTTCATGCATTCATTTTTCAATTAAAGTAATCTCTGTAATGTGCACACTTTTATTGTTGGTAGTTTCAGATTGTTCTGACGTGACTCTTTAAACCTGCAGAATTCCATATTTACTATCACTTTAAATATATGGACTGACCGTTCTGAAGATTCAGTTAATTATCTCTGTGTGGTTTATAATGTTTTGTTTAAGGTAAAATCTGGAATGCAATGATATCCAGTTTAAAAAGAAAAGATAATGTTGTATTAAACATTGTGATATTTCAGTAACTTGATGAATCATGTCATGACAAGAAATGCCATTTGGATTTATTTATTTTTACAAAAATGTATTTATACGTGTTGATATTGAATACACTTTAATGTTTCAAATGTAGAACCCCTGAATTAAGATAGATGAAAAAAAAAAACAAGTTGTTTGCCTTTTAACCAGCCTTAAAAATTAACCATATTTTTTTTTAAATTGCTCCATGTCATGGTAGGAACTTCTATGTGTTCTTTTTCTTGACCTAGAATGTAAAAAAAATGATTTATGGTAAAATGTAACCAAAAAAACAATACAATAGTCTTGAAATAAAGACAGTTAAGTACACAATGGACAATTAAAAACAGGTATATTTGATCATCAAGCACGAGGTGAAACAGTCATACTTGGAAACAAATGAGTTTGAATATTAGAAAATTGACTATTGACTATGACTAGCAAGTTTTAAATAATCAAGATTAGTGCACGTTATAATACATTTATTTAGCTGACTGCTACATGGATTATAAGAAAGAGCACAACCATGACTTATTTTTGTTTACTTGTAGAGATGTTTATTTATTTTCTCTTAGAACAACTCTCCTGCACTGTCTTTTATCTAAATTTGTGTTTTGTTTTTTTAAATAAAATAAAATAAATTACAATCTAATCTCTTTAATTTGAATACATAAATATATATTTTAATTGTTGTACAACATAAAGTATTCATTAACATAGTTGGGTAAAGTTGATATGTTGGTTTATTTGTAAATATGAAAACGTATTTGTGTGCTATTGAATGAAAAATAGATGATCTGAACGTTTAAGTTAACATTTAAGTGATATTTTATTAAGCCTGAGTAGCTGATTTAGAAAAGAAGAAAACCCCAGCTTGATAAAACAGACCCTGGATATTTTTCATGAATTAAAACATGCCTTATATATCCCGTTTGCCCTTTTGTGTAAAAGTGCGTAAGTTATAATAGTTTACTCTTGAGTTTTAAGTATCCTCATGACCTTTTTTTTTTTAAACTTACATTTTCTTTGAGCAAATAGCAAAGTTTGGGAATAAAATATCAAAAGTACAATATTGCCAATTCAAATGTGAGTCGGCAAATTATTCATCATAAATTAGATCAGAAAACTGATAATTGTAAAAGTCATCAATGTAACAAGCCATTATCATAATCTTTTTCACAAAAATAAAATATATTCAAAAGTAATATATGCAAATAATACTATAACTATAATAACAAAACACAAACATAAAACAATTATTTGACTGCCTCTTAAAACTTTTCAAGTGTAATACTATAATGTAGATTAGAGGTAAAAAATAAGATTTACTTATCTATTTCCCCTGACATGCCAGCATCATCAAAACTACCACTTTACCCCTGGCAGAGATCATCATTACCATAGGGAGGTATTGGCATTATGGTGTGATTTTGTGGCAATCTCTGCTCTAATCAGCATCTGCTTATAGTAGAGTAACATTGACTCAATTAATCTTTATGGGAGCTTTCAGCATGTTCAAGACTCTGAATGTTGGACTTGCAATAGTTGCAGGAATGAACCAGCAAGCTCATCTAGTGGTTGTCTCAGCAACAGCAACTAGAGCTGTCATTAGAAAAAAAAAAAAAGAAATACTGCATTTTTTCAAAAAAGGGAGTGTTTACACTGTTTACACAGCAATAACACTATTTTTGCCCTAGAACCACTACATTTAGCTGTAGGGAGTTTGGTCCTTAGAGTGTCCCTGAAATCTGGTAGACAATGGTTGTCTACTAGCTACAATTTGTATTGTATGATACTATGGGTTCCTGAAATGTTTTAATAACAAAGTCATGTCAGGAATGGAGATACATCTGATGACAGAGTTTATTAAGAGACAAACAATACATTCATCAATTGTAGATGGTGATCTACTGGGCATATAGTTATTTTATACATATCATTAAAATTGCCACAGTTTTAGGCAATGTCTAGAGATAAAGATGCTGCTTTAGACATCTCAGACTCGAAAATCAGGGATGTGGTGTGGTCCTTCCCAGGTGACAGGGTGTACACAGGGCTCCCCTCCTCCCCTCACCAGAGAAGGCACCTGCCTATGAGCAGAGGTGGCACTTAGATTGAATTTAGCAGACTGCCTGGGATCAGTCAGTCTCTTAGCTGCACTACTTCCTTAGTGCTCTGTACTGATGCTGGGACCTGATATGTAATACCACCCAATCCCTGGAACTACAGAGCTGTGCAAACACTGTACCCAGCAGCTAACCACTGCATCCTATGGATATAAAAAACAAAAAAACAAAATCAGATGTGTGTCTGAATGTGTGTGTCTTTGTGTGTGTGAATATATGTGTGTGTGTCTGAATGTATGTGTATGTATGAATATTTGTGTGTGTGTGTATGAATGAGGTTTGTTAGTATGTTTATATGAATAAGTGCATCTGTTTAAATGTCTGCATGTGTGTAATTTCTATAAAAATGGTATAAAGCTGTGCAAAATTAAAAAAATAATTCTACAGTTTAGGGGATTGCCAAAATACATATCTGCACTAGTGATGTCCCGAATGGTGCGCTGGCGAATAGTTCCTGGCGAACATAGCGTGTTCGCGTTCGCCACGGACGGCGAACATATGCGATGTTCGGTCCGCCCCCTATTAATTTACTAATACAAAGTAAAAATTACTTAGTATTAGTAAATTGTGCCCCTACTCGCAATACCGCAAGTAGGGGCATGTCTATTAAACAGTGAGCAGCCTGTGGCTGCTCACTGTTAAAAAAAAAAAAAAGGGTCCCCCCCAATGGGGGCCCTAAATACTAATAGGGGGGGACCTAATGTCCCCCCCCAGCCCCCACTCCTGAGCGGTGGGTGGGGGCCCTAAAATGAACAATAAGGGGGGGACCTATTGTCCCCCCCCAGCCCCCACCCCTGAGCAGTGGGTGGGGGCCCTAAAATGAACAATAAGGGGGGGACCTATTGCCCCCCCGGTCCCCACCCCTGAGCGGTGGGTGGGGGCCCTAAAATGAACAATAAGGGGGGGACCTATTGTCCCCCCCGGCCCCCACCCCTGCGCGGCGGGTGGGGGCCATATTGATAATGAGGGGGGGGACCTACTGTCCACCCCCCCTCTGGCCCCCACCCCTGGGCGGCGGGTGGGGGCCATAAAGATAATGGGGGGACCTACTGTCCTCCCCCCGGTCCCCACCCCTGGGCTGCGGGTGGGGGCCCTAAGTAAATTCTCCCCCCCCAAGGTGACTAGGGGTCCCCAAGCCCCTAGTCACCCCCCCAAATAAAAAGTCCCTACCTACCCCCCTCATCCTAAAAAATAGTGAGGGGGGAATAAAATAACTAACCTGTAAAATAAAATTAAACTTACCATTCGACGTCTTCTTTTTTCAGTAATCTTCATTTTTCAGCCCCAAAAAAGGCCAAATAAAAAACCATCATAACCGTCGAACTAAAAAAAAAAAAAATAATCCTGAGCGCAAAAAAAAAAAAAAAAGAAAACCCGAGCGCAAAAAAAAATCCATCTTCACCCATGGAGGGCTCACGCGCAGACTGAGCTTCGCAGGGTGGGGCAAGGCTTATAAAGCCTTGCCCCGCCCTGTAATTAGGCTAAGAACACTCTGATTGCGGGTTTAAGCCAATCAGAGTAGCTTTTGTCATTTTACACAGGGGAAAATTAAAAGAATTTTCCCACGCTGTGTAAAATGACACAGAGCACTGTGATTGGATGGCTTGAAATCCATCCAATCACAGTGCTCTGTGTCATTTTACACAGCGTGGGAAAATTGAACTTTCCCACGGTGTGTAAAATGACACAGAGCACTGTGATTGGATGGCTTGAAATCCATCCAATCACAGTGCTCTGTGTCATTTTACACAGCGTGGGAAAATTGAACTTTCCCACGCTGTGTAAAATGACACAGAGCACTGTGATTGGATGGCTTGAAATCCATCCAATCACAGTGTTCATTTTAGGGCCCCCACCCACCGCTCAGGGGTGGGGGCCAGGAGGGGACAGTAGATCCCCCCCCTTATTGTTAATTTTAGGGCCCCAACCCACCGCTCAGGGGTGGGGGCCTGGGGGGGACAATAGGTCCCCCCCTTATTGTTATTTTTAGGGCCCCCACCCGCCGCACAGGGGTGGGGGCCGGAGAGGGGGAGGACTGTAGGTCCCCCCCTCATTATCTTTATGGCCCCCACCTGCCAGAAAGAGTCCCTGTGGGTTTTAAAATTCGCCTGCCTATTGAAGTCTATGGCGGTTCGCCGGGTTCGCGAACATTTGCGGAAGTTCGCGTTCGCGGTTCGCGAACCAAAAATGTCATGTTCGCGACATCACTAATCTGCACTGGGTGCCAGGTAACCTAGTTACACCTCTGCTTCAGACTTTGTGAGGATGGGCTGATTAATTCAGCTGAAATATTTTCAAAAACCAAAGAAGATATCGGAACAACATTTTTATGGAAACTGATACAAATGTTCTGGGAAACAAATAAGGCAGATGGGAATGAAACACAGTGAAGACTCAAGGCAAGTGTGAATCACTGGCCAATTAAGGGTAAACAATTGTAATGTATTATAATAGCCTCCCCTTTTGAACATGTTAGAGATAATTCATAAAAATGAATTGAGTTAATTAAATTAGTACTAGAAAAACAAACTTTTTTTTTTTTTTTTTACAAATCACCAATAGTCTCTGTTTATCATAAAAAAAGAATTAGGTCAACTACTCAGGATACTCCTAAAAAGTTTAATGGTAATGCTGAGCATAGACCATATATTGCTAAGTAGGGGTGTATGTGAATTAAAGCCAACATTTTGCAGTATTATTAAGAGCCGCATGCGTGAGTTTGTTCAGTATTTTCAAATATTTTAAATGTTTAGTATTTCTCCACATGAAGAAGACTTACATAGAGTATGAGTTCTGTTTAAAGGGATGTATGAGGTTGGAAGGGACCCCCATAGTTTAAATACATTATTATGATGCTGCAAATAAGCATGTAAAAAAAAAAGAAACTCAACTGTAAAACGCCTTCTCCTACTAATCCACAGGCGAGCAGCAGCAGATATATCTTTAAAGTTCAGAAATAAGCTCAACCAATCAGAAAATTATTATTATTCTCTCTGGGGTCTGTGGTTATGCCATAAACCCTCTGTTCAACCCTATGTTACTTTTGGAACATGTCGTTCAGCCCCCAGGGATGATGAGTTTACCTAATAAAAATATTATTGCAGTCAAATTGCTAAATTCAGTCAAATTAAATTGCCATCTGTTGTTTCATGGCCCCATCCAGAGTTTGTAAATGTGGCTGTGGGCAATAGACTTGTGCATTCGGTGTCAAATTAATTGCAAATCTTCAAAATTTTGGCATTTCATCCAAAATCCTTAACTCCGAAAATTAGATGGACGAATCATGAAACAAATGAACCAGACAAAAAAAAAAAAAGATTGAAGGAAAAAAAATAAAAGATTGATGGTTTTATTCAAGGATCAACTCACATGTTCAGGAAGAACAGTAAACAAATTCTATTTATATATTATGTACTTAATAAAAAAGTAATATATAAATAAAGATTATTTTTCACTGCTTCTCCTTTTGTTCCCTCTAGTGGCTACTTCTTCTCATATGATGCGTGAACAAAATGGCACAAAGATGCACCACATGAGTGTACCTCAAATATATATATACTATTTATATTGTGTGCTTATATATACATAATATGTCTATTATGTATATATTTTGCAGTACACTGATTGGTCAATTTTCATGCTATTTTGGCTCCTCTGAATTCCTTTTCATGAAACAATAGCATAGACAAAATTTGTCAAACCAAAACTCCACATGGACAAAATCTGAATTGCCCAAAACAAAAATGTTTCACATTTTTTTCTCTGTGAACAAGTCTCATGGATAGCATTTCCATGCTTGAAGCTGCTACAAAAGAAGATGAGGAACATTTGTATCTGCCATGTAAAAGAAAGAATATCTGTCTTACAGCTACAATGAACTCTTATAAACCTCTGTAAATATAAACTACTGCATGCAGGGACATAGTGACAGGGGAGCATAATTTGTTATGTTGCTTATATAACCATTTAATCCTTTCGAATACAGACTTGTGAAATCCCTGTAATGAGTTTGCATTTAGTGATCTCTTTGAATTTTCCAATAAATGTTATTTTTATTTACACTTGGTTGCTCCATTTTATTTATTTATTTTTAATGAAACCAATGAAAATGTGACTTAGGGATTACTTTGATGATGGTAATGACCCCTGATGCCTTTTTACAAATTCTACAAACTCACTTATTAATATTTATCAAGTTACAGATTATATGTAAATTTAAACAATTTCAAATCCTTTATTCTTGCTTCATAATGTGATTTATCAAGTATCTTTTCTAAAACCTGTAATTAGATCATTTGAGAAAACCTTTTAGAGACTTGGAAACAATAACATAAAAATCTTTATAAATATTGTAGACCATTATTGACATTAAAACAATATGACATGATAAAATATGTAAATCCTTTTTGGCATTCTAGGTTCCGGAGATTAATATGATGCATCTGATTTTTATTCCATTCAATTAGACATTTTTAAATTAACTAAAATTCCACTGCCAATCTCATAAAAGCTGTTCCATATCTCTAGTAGCTTTTATTAAAATGGAGCTGAAAATGATGCTGAATGATGCATGGTGCTGAAAATGAATACATTATTCTATATAAAATATATTTTAAAGATTTTATTGTTGTTAACATGAGTGAACTTTTAGTAAATGCTCACAATTTTTATAAACTATTAATACGATGAAATAACTATATTTAGCCTGGAAAGCAATCAAGGTGCAGAACCACAATCTGAAGAGGACTCCATACACTGTAAAAATACCACGTTGGACATCTGCTGAGACAATAAAAGACTTTATGGCATTTTTTTTTTTTTTGGTAGTTGAAAGATAAGTAAGAAAAGTCAAACAGTGTTCTGTAGTAGTTATGACGCTACTCTCTTCCTGTTTCAGGGCTTCTGTTAGTACTCCTAAGTCAAGCCTTTCAGTGCAGCACAATCACATAAACTGAGATTCTCAGATGAACCCCCTTAGCCAATGAGCTAAGCTGTGCACCGCCAGTCTGTACTGGAAGAGGGGAGTGGCGCCCAGTGGATCCAAGAAAGAAATGAAGGTGTTCTAAAAATGTTTGATTAGATGCAATATGGGGAAACAAAGACACTATTGACACCATAACCATTACCGCATGCTGCTCTGATTGTGTTGCTTAGAGCTTGAAGGAGGTTGTAACTTAAGTTCCTTAAATGTAATAAAAATATTACAAGCCTCTTCATTCACCAAAACCCGGTAAAGTTATATCTACTAAGTAACTCTCAACATGTTATAAATATAGCAGTACGTCCCTGAGAACATAACATACTTTCTTCAATGTTGTGTCAGTAATATTTTGATCTCTAGCTAACTGCTGGAAAGTAGTCAGAGAATACATGCAATATAAAAATAATATGAAAATAATATATATGGATAACAAAATTGTCACATTAATAATTTGTTGTTAATTACAAATAAAAGTAGGTATATTGAATGACTCTGTAAATGTGGAACAAATTAATGAGGTTGATGCTGGAAGAAAAAGGAAGAAATACCACAAACCAATAACAAAGTGTTTGTGGTTCTCAAAATATAGGCATACCCATATGTATACTCAATATAAGTTAAGCATTAAACAATACTCTGTAAAAGAGTATTTGAGAGTGTGGCTTTGTTAACAAGAGTCACATAGTTATTCACTAAAGTAATTATCCAAAGGTAATTTAAAGTAAATTTTAAATTTAGAATAGGAGCAGATAAGGAATATTGTAATGAGAGAAGCAACACCCAAGAAGATGGTAAACCATCCTGAAGAAGTGTATTTTCAGTGACTTTTTAATGGACTGGAGGCTAGAGGAGAATTAAGAGAAAATAATTAACTTTAGATTAGATTAAATAATTAGACACAATAGTAAGGGTATTTTCAGTAGACTGGAGGGAGCTAAATTGTGAATTTTGGCATTTGTTTTAAAATATGACTGATCTTGAAAAAATTTATTTTGTTGAAGGATAGTGATCATATGAAGCCATTTATTATCACACAGTTGTTTGGCCTTTTTAAATCATAATGATAACAGAAATCACCCAAATGGCCATGATCAAACGTTTACATACCCTTGAATGTTTGGCCTTGTTACAGACACACAAGGTTACATACACAGATTAAAATGGTAATTAAAGGTTTATTTTCCACACCTGTGGCATTTTAAATTACAATTAGTGCCTGTGTATAAATAGTCAATGAGTTTGTAAGCTCTCACGTGGATGCACTGAGCAGGCTAGATACTGAGCCATGGGGAACAGAAAAAACTGTCAAAAAAACTGCATAAAAAGTTACTGGAACTTTATAAAGAGGAAAAGGATATAAAAAGATGTCCAGTCAGTACTGTTTAATAGTGATGTCCCGAACTGTTCGCCGAACGGTTCACAAACTGTTCGCCCCGGTTCGCCACTAACGGTTCGCCACGGACTCCAGTCAGCTGACACATTCCAGCCAATCAGCAGCAGACCCTCCCTCCCAGACCCTCCCACCTCCTGGACAGCATCCATTTTGAAGCTGCATTCTTAGTGAGCTGTCCAGGAGGTGGGAGGGTCTGGGAGGAAGGGTCTGCTGCTGATTGGCTGAAATGTGGCAGCTAACTGGAGTCCGTGCGAACCGTTGCGAACAGTTTGGGACATCACTACTGTTTAACCACTTATTAAAAAGTCAAAAATTCTGATTTCTTGATACCAAGCCACGGTCAGGTAGACCAAGGAAGATTTCAGTCACCACTGCCAGAAGAATTGTTCAGGATACAAAGAAAAAACCAAAGGTAACCTCTGGGGAAATAAATGCTGCTCTTGAAGAAATAGTAGGGTTGTTTCAAGGAGCACAATATGATGATACTTGAACAAAAATGAGCTTCATGGTAAAGTTACCAGAGAGAAGCTTTTACTGCACCAATGCCACAAAAAAGCTTGGCTGCGATTTGCCTGACAACACCTTTACATGCCTTACAGCTTCTGGCACACTGTAATTTGGAGTGACAAGATTAAAAAAGAACTTTATGGTCACAACCATAAGTGCTATGTTTGGAGAGGGGTCAGCAATGTGTATAGTGAAAAGAATACCATCCCCACTCTGAAGCACGGTGGTCGCTCACTGATTTTTTTTTGGGGTGGGTGAGCTTTAAAGGCATAGGGAATCTTGTGAAAATGTATGGCAAGATGAATGCAGCACGTTATCAGAAGATACTGGCAGACAATTTGCATTCTTCTGCACAAAGGCTGCGCATGGGATGCTCTTGAACTTTCCTGCATGACTATGACCCTAAGCACAAGGCCAAGTTGACCCTGAAGTGGTTAAAGCAGAAAAAGGTGAAGGTTCTGGAGTGGCTATCTCAGTCTCCTGACCTTAATATCATCGAGCCACTCTGGGAGATCTCAAACACACGGTTCATGTAAGACGACCAAAGACTTTGCATGACCTGGTGGCATTTTGCCAGGACGAATGGCATCTATACAACCTGCAAGAATTAGGGGTCTAATAGGCAACAATTACAAAAGACTGCATGCTGTCATTAATGCTAAAAGGGGCAATACACAGTATTAAGAACTAACGGTATGGGTGATGTAATGACATGACATGCATATGTCCGCTTGCGTGCCTGAAAAAGGAGACTGGTTGCATTGGAAAAAAGTCAGGCAACAAAAAGAGACAAAAAGGAAAATAAATTAGACAAAAGCTTGCCTGGGTTCTTCTCCCCAATCACACAAAAGAGAAGTCCATAATAGCAAACACAGAAAAGGCTGGACAATAGAGGTCAGTGAAGACCCTGAAGACACATATGTATCCCAAGCATTTTTTAAAGACTGTATGTAGTCAATGGTGGAAACCCTGAAAGTTGAAATTTAAGTCTAGTGCTATAGACATCAAACAAGAAATTGGAAATTTCATTACACGTCTTAACCAATTTGCACAAAATTTTTTAGAAATTGAGGAGAGTAATCAATCACTCAAAAAGCTACAAGTAATGTCTGAACAAAAATTATTAGATATAGAATTAAAACTAGGAGATATGGAAGATCGGACAAGAAGATAGAACTTATGGTTTACAAATATTTCCGAAGAAGCAAAGGACAAAAGATTACAAACATATTTGGAAGAATTATTCGGAAAGTTGGGAGTCCACATCAAATCTCATTAAATTCTAATGAACCGCTGGCACAGACTACCTAAACCAAGGGGTATTCCTGAAAGCACTCCTAGAGATGTAATAGTCAATTTCTTTTAATTTTTAACCGAGGAACAAATCTTCAAATCAAGTCAGAGCCCCAAATCATCTAGAAGCAACTCTAAGAAGTATTCAAGTATTCCAGGACTATTCTTATATATCAAGATAGCAAAGAAGAAACTTCTCAACAGAAATGAATTTGCTTAAAACACACAATATCAAATTACGTTGGAGCGCACCGGCCATCCTAAGAGCATTCTGGGATAACAGACTAACTCTTTTAGGACACCTCAAGAAGCCAGAAAATGGATCGAAAAAAGTAAATCCTTACTCTAAAAATATTATGAATATATAGATCCATTTTCTGGCTTCTTGAGGTGTCCTAAAAGAGTTAGTCTGTTATCCCAGAATGCTCTTAGGATGGCCGGTGTGCTCCAACGTAATTTGATATTGTGTTTTTTAAGCAAATTCATTTCTGTTGAGAAGTTTCTTCTTTGCTAAGAAGAAAGATCTTCATGGAGGTCTACAAAGAACACGAGAGGAGAA